AGAAAGCGGTCCGCAAAACGTGGTGCGATGTGCAGAATCGGATCGCATAGGTGTGAATACCCATGCGATCCAATTCTAGTGCGAACCCAAAAAAGGGTCCTGCACATTCTTGATGCGGGTGCAGTGCGATTGGAGCCATACCAAATGTATGGCTGCAATCGCACCGCACACAAATCGCATGTGACTTGCACAGGAATTCAGTGCAGTTCCTGTGCGAATCACATGCGATATACTGCACCACATACAGTCATGGCCGAAATTGTTGGCACCCTTGATATTTTTCCTGAAAATCAAGTATTTCACACAAAAAAGGTATTGCATTAACACATGTTTTGCTATACACATGTTTATTCCCTTTGTATGTATTGGAACAAATATAAAACAGAGGCAGAAAAGCAAATATGACATAATGTCACACAAAACCCCAAAAATGGGCTGGACAAAAGTATTGGCACCCTTAACTTAATATTTGGTTGCACACCCTTTGGAAAACATAACTGAAATCAGTCGCTTCCTATAACCATCAATAAGCTTCTGACACCTCTCACCCGGAATTTTGGACCACTCTTCCTTTGCAAACAGCTCCAGGTCTCTCTTATTGGAAGGACACCTTTTCCCAACAGCAATTTTAAGATCTCTCCACAGGTGTTCAATGGGATTTAGATCTGGGCTCATTGCTGGCCACTTCAGAACTCTCCAGCGCTTCTTTGCCATCCATTTCTGAGTGCTTTTTGACGTATGTTTGGGGTCATTGTCCTGCTGGAAGACCCAGGATCTTGGACGCAAACCCAGCTTTCTGACACTGGGCCCTACAGTGCGACCCAAAATCCTTTGGTAATCCTCAGATTTCATGATGCCTTGCACACAGTCAAGGCACCCAGTGCCAGAGGCAGCAAAACAACCCCAAAACATCATTGAACCTCCACCATATTTTACCGTAGGTACTGTGTTTTGTTCTTTGTAGGCCTCATTCCGTTTTCGGTAAACAGTAGAATGATGTGCTTTACCGAAAAGCTCTATCTTGGTCTCATCTGTCCACAAGACGTTTTCCCAGAAGGCTTTTGGCTTACTCAAGTACATTTTGGCAAACTGTAGTCTTGCTTTTTTATGTCTCTGTGTCAGCAGTGGGGTCCTCCTGGGTCTCCTGCCATAGCGTTTCATTTCATTTAAATGTCGACGGATAGTTCGCGCTGACACTGATGCTCCCTGAGCCTGCAGGACAGCTTGAATGTCTTTGGCCCCCCCCCCCAACATGTTTGGGGCTGCTTATCCACCATCCGGACTATTCTGCGTTGCAATCTTTCATCAATTTTCCTCATCCGTCCACGACCAGGGAGATTAGCTACAGTGCCATGGGTTGCAAACTTCTTGATAATGTTGCGCACTGTGGACAAAGGCAAATCTAGTTCTCTGGAGATGGACTTGTAACCTTGAGATTGTTGATATTTTGCCACAATTTTGGTTCTCAGGTCCTCAGACAGTTCTCGTCTCCTCTTTCTGTTGTCCATGCTTAGTGTGGCACAGACAGACACACAATGCAAAGGTTAAGTGAACGTCTCTCCTTTTTATCTGCTTTCAGGTGTGATTTCTATATTGCCCACACCTGTTACTTGCCCCAGGTGAGTTTACAGGAGCATCACATGCTTGTAACATTCTTATTTATCCGCAGTTGTGAAAGGGTGCCAATACTTTTGTCCAGCCCATTTTTGGAGGTTTGTGTGACATTATGTCGAATTTGCTTTCTTTCCTCCCTTTTTTTTTGATTTTTGTCCCAATACACACAAAGGGAATAAACATGTGTATAGCAAAACATGTGTTAATGCAATACGTTTCGTGAGAAATACATGATTTCCTGGAGAAATATCAAGGGTGCCAACAATTTCGGCCATGACTGTATATGTGAACCCAGGCTCAATGTCAGTCAGTCTGCACTCCTTCTTCGTCAAGAACTCAATGACAGCACACTGCTTGTACTTGTAATCCATTATTTACCTGTAATGAAAAAGAAGAATTACTATAGAGGAAGTGTTATTCAACAAACATGAAATTTGAATGACCTATGCAATGTAATAAAAAGTTATGCCCATATTTGCATTTTGATACAGTCCTTCTATAATGTTTGGGAGTTTTAACTAATTCTCAGGCCCAAAACATTCATTTTGACACGTGTACAAAAAAAACACAAAAACAATTCTAGTGATGGAAGGGTGACAGTTTGCTATGATTTGGTATTGTTTTGGGGGATGTAGTGTGGTCCTATGTAATTATTATAATTCTGCAGGTTTACTTATATAGCTCCCCCCTAGTTAGGTTGCTAGAGCACAGGTAAATTTAATGGTTTTGCTTCCCTGTAGCAAGGGAGTAGTGCTCAAATGCTTTTGGCTGTTCTGGGTTCTGTTGGTGCAGGTTCAACTACTTCACCCTGCATTCCACTGAGTTCTGAAATTAAGTGGGTGGTAGAGGCAGACCCTGTGTCAGGAATGGACTTGCCAGTAATGGTGGGACTCACCTGCCTTGTGGGCTGCAGTACCAGGGCTGGCCAGCGGGTGCTCTCAGCAATCAGAGACTCAACCCTGCAGCCAGCCAAACACCTGAAGCTGATTATGCAGGTGTATTTAAGGGATGGCCAGACCTGCAGTCTGGGCCTTGGTGTGTGGTTTTCCTGGGCCCCTGTATCTTGTTACCTGCATCCCTGTTCCTGTTCCTGTTCCTGTTCCTGTCCCTGTCCGACTGATTCGTTGCTGACCCTGCCTGATCCGGACCTCTGCTGACTTCTCCTGTTTGATCCCTGGCTTGTGACCCCGACTATTCTCTGCCTGACCCCTGTACCTACCTGCCCGTTAGTTGCTGTACCCGGCTCGTGACCTGACTACTCTCTGCCTGCTCCTCCTGTTCCTACCTGCCCAATTGTTATTGACCCGGCCTGCCTGACGACGCTTGCATTGTATGTATTGTTATCTGTGGGTGGTTTGGTTTGGTTCATTTGCACTGTGTTATGTTTTAGTATTGCACTGCGTTTATGTATTGTTAGTGTTAATAAATTATATTGTTATAACATATCTGAAGCCTGCGTTTCCCTGCGTCAGTTCACATACCTCTGGTCACACCCTGGAGCCCTGACATTACACCAAGGCCAATCCTGACCAGAAGTGGCTGCACAGGGAAGCCATCTTGGCTTGTTGCTGGGAAGGATGGATCTTGATGAGGTTGTGTATTTGTCGCTGCTGGTTTTTGATGACAGAGACTATGCTTATCAGGCTCTGAGGGAGTATACCCGGGATCAACTGCTAGAATGTATACGGATCGCTCATGTTCTAGTAGATCAGGGCACAGAGTTCTCTGAGGTGCAACCTTTGATTCAGGTTTGTGTAGAGTTGGCTTCATCTGGTACCCCTGAAAGCAGGAATGACTTTTTGCCACCATTTAGTGCAGACCAGGTAGAGTCCCAGGTATGGTTATTAGAGGATGATGTGGATTGCTTCTTGGAACATTATGCTGCATGTTCACCACAGGTATTAAGGGATTGTATAAACGCAGTGCAGTCTTTGACCAGACAGGCTTTGTGTAAGCTGAGCTTTGTTCAACCCATACTGCAGACATGGTCAGACTTGTTGCACCCAGCCTCAGTCAGCTTGCAAAAACCCAGTCCTGCTTCTAATCTATTTCTTCAAAGCTCTATTCCTGCATTCCCAACAGCACCTCCAGTTACAGCCCAGTATACCCTGCTATCTACCGCATGTCAGTACCCTGTTCCCACTCGCTGCACCTATCCTGCCTTTAACCCTGTAAAGAAGCCCTCTGTAGCAACTGTTCCCTCCCCTGTTCCATCCTCCAGCTCTGCTCTGTCTCCAGCTGCTCCATCCGTTTACAAACCTGCGCTTACTTACAGTGCTCCGGTAACTAAAACCAGGAAAAGGCGAAAGTTCTTTCCAACCAATACCATCCTGCCAGTATCCAAACCGGTCAGCCTCCCATCTGAGAACCTGCCTTCCGTGGTGCAGCCTGGTGCCTCGGCGCCCACAATTCAGCCTGATGCCTCTACCCAGCCTCCATGATGCCTGATGCCTCTCCATTCAGCCTGATGCCTCCATTCAGCCTGATGCCTCTACCCAGCCTGATGCCTCTACCCAGCATGATGTTTCTACCCAGCCTGATGAACTGATCCAGCCTGATGATCCTATTAGGCCAGTTGACTCGATGCCCGCTGTCGATCCAGACGATCCGGTACCTGATGACCCAGTGCCCGCTGTCATGCCTGGTGACCCGATGCCCGCTGTCGAGCCAGACGATCCAACGCCAGATGACCCGATGCCCGCTGTCGATCCAGACGATCCGGTACCTGATGACCCGTGCCCGCTGTCATGCCTGGTGACCCAATGCCCGCTGTCGAGCCAGACAATCCAATGCCTGATGACCCAGTGCCCGCTGTCATGCCTGGTGACCCGATGCCCGCTGCCGGGCCAGACGATCCAATGTCTGACCCAGTGCCCGCGGTCATGCCAGTTGACTCGGAGCCCACTGTCGTGCCTGGTGACTCGGTGCCCACTGCCTTGCCAGATGACGCGGTGCCCGCTGGCGAGCCAAATGACCTGATGCCTGGTGACCCAGTGCCCGCTGTCATACCTGGTGAACCGATGCCCGCTGTCGAGCCAGACAATCCCATGCCTGATGACCCAGTGCCCGCTGTCATGCCTGGTGACCCGATGCCCGCTGTCGGGCCAGACGATCCAATGTCTGACCCAGTGCCCACGGTCATGCCAGTTGACTCGGAGCCCACTGTCGTGCCTGGTGACTCGGTGCCCACTGCCTTGCCAGATGACGCGGTGCCCCGCTGGCGAGCCAGATGACCTGATGCCTGGTGACCCAGTGCCTGCTGTCATGCCTGGTGACCCGATGCCCGCTGTCGAGCCAGACGATCCAACGCCAGATGACCCGTGCCCGCTGGCGATCCAGACGATCCGGTACCTGATGACCCGTGCCCGCTGTCGTGCCAATTGACTCAGAGCCCACTGTCGTGCCTGGTGACTCGGTGCCCACTGCCTTGCCAGATGACGCGGTGCCCGCTGTCGAGCCAAATGACCTGATGCCTGGTGACCTGATGCCCGCTGTCGAGCCAGACGATCCAATGTCTGACCCAGTGCCCGTGGTCATGCCAGTTGACTCGGAACCCACTGTCGTGCCTGGTGACTCGGTGCCCACTGCCTTGCCAGATGACGCGGTGCCCGCTGGTGAGCCAAATGACCTGATGCCTGGTGACCCGATGCCCGTTGTCGTGCCTGATGACCCGGCCCGCCCCCCTGGTGCCCGCCGCCGCTCCGCCTGGGGGCCCGGGGCCTGCTGTCCCTCCTGGGGCCCGGTGCCCGCCGCTCCGCCTGGGGGCCCGGCGCCCGCCGCTCCACCTGGGGGCCCGATGCCTGTCGCTCCGCCTGGGGGCCTCCGCCTGGGGGCCCGATGCCCCCCCGCCTGGGGGCCCGATGCCTGTCGCCCCTCCTGGGGGCCCGGCGCCCGCCGCTCCGCCTGGGGGCCCGGCGCCCGCCGCCCCCGCCTGGGGGCCCGATGCCTGTCGCTCCGCCTGGGGGCCCAATGCCTGTCGCCCCTCCTGGGGGCCCGGCGCCCTCCACTCCGCCTGGGGGCCCGCCGCCCGCCGCCGCCGCCGGGGGGCCTGATGCCTGTCGCTCCACTCAGGGCCCGGTGCCTGCCGCCCCTCCTGGGGGCCCGGCGCCCGCCGCCCCACCTGGGGGCCCGATGCCTGTCGCCCCGCCTGGGGGCCCGATGCCTGTCGCCCCACCTGGGGGCCCGGTGCCTGCTGCTCCACCTGGGGCCCGGTGCCTGCTGCTCCGCCTGAGGGCCCGGTGCCTGCTGCTCCGCCTGGGGGCCCGGTGCCTGCTGCTCCGCCTGGTGATCCGGTGTCCTGCCCGATGTGCCGCTGCCCGGAGTCCTGCCCGATGTGCCGCTGCCCGGAGTCCTGCCCGATGTGCCTCTGCCCGGAGTCCTGCCCGATGTGCCTCTGCCCGGAGTCCTGCCCGATGTGCCGCTGCCCGGAGTCCTGCCCGATGTGCCGCTGCCCGGAGTCCAGCCCGATGTGCCGCTGCCCCGGAGTCCAGCCCGATGTGCCAGTCTTTGATATCCCGTCCAGTTACCAGACCCGGGCGGTGGAACATTTTGCCCAGCTAGGACTGTTTGGAGCGTCCTGAGGCCGCTTCTTGAGGGGGGGGGGTACTGTCAGGAATGGACTTGCCAGTAATGGTGGGACTCACCTGCCTTGTGGGCTGCAGTACCAGGGCTGGCCAGCGGGTGCTCTCAGCAATCAGAGACTCAACCCTGCAGCCAGCCAAACACCTGAAGCTGATTATGCAGGTGTATTTAAGGGATGGCCAGACCTGCAGTCTGGGCCTTGGTGTGTGGTTTTCCTGGGCCCCTGTATCTTGTTACCTGCATCCTGTTCCTGTTCCTGTCCCTGTCCCTGTCCGACTGCTTCGTTGCTGACCCTGCCTGATCCGGACCTCTGCTGACTTCTCCTGTTTGATCCCTGGCTTGTGACCCCGACTATTCTCTGCCTGACCCCCTGTACCTACCTGCCCGTTAGTTGCTGTACCCGGCTCGTGACCTGACTACTCTCTGCCTGCTCCTCCTGTTCCTACCTGCCCGATTGTTATTGACCCGGCCTGCCTGACGACGCTTGCATTGTATGTATGTTATCTGTGGGTGGTTTGGTTTGGTTCGTTTGCACTGTGTTATGTTTTAGTATTGCACTGCATTTATGTATTGTTAGTGTTAATAAATTATATTATTATAACATATCTGAAGCCTGCGTTTCCCTGCGTCAGTTCACATACCTCTGGTCACACCCTGGAGCCCTGACACCCTGGCCTGAATGTTCATACAGCCTCAGCCTATCCCTATTTAGGAGAGTGACCAGCAGGGGGCTGAAATGGGTATAAATAGCGTGGGGCCTAGAGCAGCAGTCTCTTGTTCATGGGGGAAGAAGACCCAGCCTGAGGGTTGGGGCCCTCTGGGCTGCCAGCTACACACCAGAAGAAATTCTTTTTGGGTCCCAGCTTCAGCTAGAGCTCGGGGACCCATGTCCAGAGCCCCTGAACCAGTGCAAGAAGTTTTGCAGAGGATCCAGTACAGAGGCTGGCTGGTACTACTGTAAGCATTACAGTATCTAGGGCATAGTGAGTACTAGCCTCAAAGATCATAAAGACTGTTCTTGCCACATTTGGGAGAGCTCATTACAATTTCTTTACTCAGGTTATACCTCTGCTAAGGGATCCCCTGCATTGTAGTTTTCTTACATTTTAAATTGAATAGGGTGGTTACTCCCTAAAGAAGCATATTGGTTACAATTATTCTCTATTGCATTTCCGTTCTTTTTGGAGTATCCCATAGATCACCCTCATCCCATCCACGTTCTACCAGAAAATGAACTGCAAAAACACATGCATGACCTGTTTTCTGACTTGTGTGACTCTCTGGCATGTGCCTATCATGGAATGGAACCTGGGATCAAACAGCCAGCCCACTCTACGGTCTGTGCTACACTTATAAATGATTTATATTTCCCCTTTTATTTTGCTATTCTTACTTGGCCTAGACCTGAAGCTTTAGCTGGGCAGTGGTCATCTGAAGTCTGACAGTTAGTTGGTCAGTTGCCTGATCTTGGCATTCAGAAGGTCAGCACTTCTTAGTCTTCAATTGGCTTTTGTGATTGTCTAAACAATGGCTAGCACCCATATGTCTATCTTGACAGGGTGTTTTTAAGTGCACAACAGGGTAGCTCATGCTAGATGCTGCCTCCAGACCTATATTTTGTCAAGAAAGCCCAACAACACTATGTATAGCAACCCCTAAAGACTTCAATGACACTAATATGCATACAGAGTATAAAATATAACTCATTATCCCGACAATTACAGCGTGTATGCGAGCAAGCCTGCTGTTTACCAAACGTTATTGCACTGAGCCCCTGTAAATAGAAAAAAAGCCTTAAACCACAGATCTCTCACCACCAAAAAAACAGGCATGAAATATCTGCAAAATTCTTGACGGCATCTTTGTTTAAAGTCACAGGTTGATGACCAAATCGTTTTTCGTCCACTCCCTATCGTTAAAAGGGTAAAAATAAAGGACCCTTGGCACCTGGCTATATTTCTGATTAATGTCCCTATTTTCATTGCTGAAAGTTTAATACCTTTTTATGTTAAAAGTAAACTTTCTTGACAGAATCTCCAAGAATTTTAAATTAAAGGGGGTAAAATAATAACTAGCGATGTTGTATGCTTTCAGGCCATTTTGAAATCAAGACTTGATGGATGCTACAATATCCCTTTTTTTGGCTACGGAATAGTGTAAAATTATTACTCTCAACGGACAATGCAGTATAAAACAAGAATGCCTTTATTACTAGTGGCGACGATGTGACAAGTCTGATAGATGCCACTTTGAGTCTCTACTGAGCTCTGGCCCGCTTCCACACTTATTTCACCGCTACTAATAGATCCTGCAATTTTGACTGGCCATCAGTTAAAAAAGTGTCATTTACTCCGAAGCGACAGGTAAGTAAAATGTCCTTAAACATTCCATTTGTCTCTCTTTCTCTGACTGTCTGACTAATGACTCCAAATAATGCATTTCGTACGTGTCGTCTGAGTGATGTACTGGCCAGAACTAGGTAATGAATATGAAATGGAGAAAAAGGCTGGTTTTATTTGGGGCCTAATGCAGTATAGAATCAGAGAAAGTCAGTCTGAAGCTAGGAGAGGATTCCTAATGTGAATATGTCTTTCTGTTCATTAAAAGAATGTTTTCCTGCAGGCACAGGGATGGACATACTGGCTGTGATCCGGCACAGGGACCTATCAGGAATGTGTATCTGAAACTCGCCAGGGTAGGAGGATCTTGATGGGGTTTGTCTAGAACACCTGGATGAGTAAAGCTTAGTGAAATGCTGTATAAAAAAAGAAAACGCCATACCCATTTCGGTCCCATTACCATATTTATTAGTCACAGCACAACCCACACAAATTCCTTACAATGCATTTCACTCCAAAGTTAGATATATAGAGCTTTGTCATTGTTGTGCGGGCAGCTGCTGCTGTTGGTACAGTCAGCTGGAAAGGACTTCATAGAAATGTTTTGCTTGAATGGGATCACAGGATCTCTGGGATCAGGATGGTATAATCCAGTGGTCTCCAAACTGTGGTCTGAGGGCCGGATGTGGCCCTTTGCTAGCCTTTAGCCAGCACTATTCCTCCCACTGACTTCAACAGTAGGGCATAATTCCTGCCAGTGAAACTAATGATGTGACACTACTGTATTCCTCCTACTAATATCAATGATGGGACACTATTCCTCCTACTGATAACAACAATGGGGCACTATTCCTCCCACTGATTTCAATGATGAGGCACCTTTCCTCCCACTGATACTAATGATGGGAAACTATTCCTCCCACTGACACCAACAATGGGATACTATTTCCTCCTACTGATACTAATGATGGGGTATGAATCCTCCCACTAATACCAATGATGTGAACCACTCCTCCCTTTACTGACAACCAACCCTGAGGCAAGTTTATTTTCACTGTGCTGGGCCTTGGACATTTTATACCCCCACTGTCCACAATTCAGCCCCCCTAAAGTTTGAAGGACAGCAACTTGGCCCTTTTGTTTGCAAAGTTTGGAGACCCCTTATCAGGTACCTGGTGTTAGAGGCCAATGGAGAGAGAGCATCCCTTGCGGCTAAGTTCCAGACTCCCCTGATATGGGACAGAAGGAGTCAGGCTCAAAGTAGTACGGGTCACCTGTAGGAGTGCTTGTCAGAGGTACAACCAGGAGCACAGCTGATGCACTGGAACGGTGTCTGCAGACAGGTGGCACCCGTGAGAGGTATGCAGGCCTTCATGGTAGCAGAGAACTACAGAGTAGTCAGTTCAAAGCCAAGGTCAGATGCCAGGTGGAGATTGGAGCAGATGTAGTCAATAGGATAGCTGCGGTCATACACAGGATAGTGAGTGAGAATATCTATTAGCCAAGCCGAGGTCAGATCAGGAGAGCAGGTGAGAATATCTATTAGCCAAGCCAAGGTCAGATAAGGAGAGCAGGTGAGAATATCCATTAGCCAATCCAGGGTCAGATCAGCAGTCAGGCAGAGAAGACAGGTCCAAGAACAAGCCAAATCGGTAAAAGGAGATCACAGTAGCAAGGGAACATGGGCAAAGGTACTGGAAGCCAGAGATCAACCAGCAATTTGAGGGAGTAATGGGCTTCCTTATAAAGGCCATCTGGCATCAAACTGAACTAATGCATGCTTAACTATGCGCCAGTGTGCATGCGTGTTCCGGCTCATGTCCGTGCACCAATGCGCATAGATGTTCACCAGCAAGCATTTCTGCAGCCATGCAAGGTACTGG